AAAGTAAGGTAGAATTAGCTATATTTTTGGAGAGAATATCGAAAGTAAAGTAAAATTAGCTATATTTTTGGAGAGAAAATCGAAAGAAAGGTAGAATTAAAGACGAATAAAATTATAGTTAAAGAACTACTCTTTTATTTATTTATAAATACAACATCAATATCCATTCTCAATTCTCAAGTATCAACCCAACATTCATCATTCATTGATTCCTTTTTTTGCAGATTTTTCATTCTCTCGTGTTTCCTTTGCTCTTTGCTAATAACCATTAAGGTATTTTATTCATTTTTATTTAAATTTTTAATATTATCCATTGCATAATACAGTAACTACTTTATTTTATCTAATTTTATATTCGTTTCCTTTATTTCTTGTTCTCATGAAAGAGTAAACCTTGTAGATTCTCTTTTAATTAACTATGTTCTTTATGTTTTTTATTTGTTTTTTTTCAGTGTTTTTTTTTTTGAAAAATAAACTATAACTAATTTCAGTGTTTGGTGCCAACCTTTAAATTCTAAACCATTTTTAATCGAATTTAATAATATTATTTTTCTTTTTCATGATTAAAATCGGCTTATAAGGGCAAAGGCAGCAAGACATTCATTCACATATAAACATTTTGTTATTATTTTTAAAATTAATACTATTGTGATAAATATTAAATTAATTGGTTTTTTTATTAATTTAAAAAATATTAAACAAAATCAATTATATTAATTTAATAGTAAATTATTTTATTTTAAAATGTTTAATAAAAAAATAAAAAATCACGTTGACTAAGTTTACCTATATTTTTGAGAATTTTGTTTTGATTCTTTCTTTTTTTATGCACTAATACCTATATTTTTGAGAATTTTGTTTTGATTCTTTCTTTTTTTATGCACTAATATCTCATGTTCCGTAGAATCTTAGATTTACTATAAAAATTATACATTTACTCAACCCATTACTACTCAACCCATTACTTCATGTTGATCGTACTTATTTCTGATTGATTGCTGTGAGAATAGTAACTTTTTTACTATTTCAATTATCATATTAGTTCTTATCTTCCATCTAATTTAATTGCAAATCTTTCATTTTTATTTTATAATCTTGTCTGTAATATCTTTATGGGGTATATTTCAGGGTAGGGTATTGTGAGAAAGCGTTGTGATCATCATCATGGATAAGGAGCAGTTGAAGGTTCTTAAAGCCCTTGATGTTGCCAAGACACAAATGTACCATTTCACAGCAATTGTGATTGCTGGAATGGGCTTCTTTACGGATTCTTATGATCTCTTCTGCATTTCCATTGTCACCAAATTGCTGGGTCGCATCTATTACTACGATGGTGGCAACAATCCAGGTTCTCTCCCACAAAATGTTTCCGCTGCAATCAACGGTGTTGCCTTCTGTGGAACACTTGTCGGACAACTTTTCTTTGGTTGGCTTGGTGACAAAATGGGAAGGAAACGTGTTTATGGAATGACCCTTGCGCTTATGGTTCTATCTTCACTTGCTTCTGGCTTCTCTGTTGGGAAGGACCCAAAAGCTGTTGTATCTACTCTTTGTTTCTTTAGGTTTTGGCTTGGATTTGGAATCGGTGGTGATTACCCTCTTTCCGCTACTATCATGTCTGAGTATGCAAACAAAAAGACTCGGGGCGCATTTATAGCTGCCGTTTTTGCCATGCAAGGTTTTGGAATTTTGGTCGGCGGAGCTGTTGGAATTATAGTTTCATCTATTTTTAAAGCCTTTTACCCGGCTCCAGCTTTTCATGTTAACCCAGCACTGTCCACAGTTCCTCAAGCTGATTATGTTTGGAGGATAGTCTTGATGTTCGGTGCAATTCCGGCTGGGTTGACATACTATTGGAGGATGAAAATGCCTGAAACTGCAAGATACACTGCTTTGGTTGCAAAGAATGCTACTCAAGCTGCTGCAGATATGTCAGAAGTTATGCAAGTTGAGATAGTAACTGAACTGGAAATGGTTCAGCAGTTGGATCAAAATCAAAGACAAGGAGGGAATGATTTTGGTTTGTTTACAAAAAGGTTTCTTCGCCGTCATGGACTGCATTTGTTTGCAACAGCTACTACTTGGTTCTTGTTGGATATTGCTTATTATAGTCAGAATCTTTTTCAGAAAGATGTTTTCAGTGCAATTGGATGGATACCAGAAGCTAAAACCATGAGTGCCCTTGAAGAGGTTTATAAAATTGCTAGAGCACAGACACTTATAGCCCTGTGCAGCAGTGTTCCTGGTTACTGGTTCACGGTTGCGTTCATCGATAGAATTGGAAGATTTACAATCCAGCTGATGGGATTTTTCTTCATGACTGTGTTCATGTTTGCCCTGGCCATTCCTTACCATCACTGGACTTTGAATGGAAACCAAATCGGATTTGTTGTCATGTATTCATTGACGTTCTTCTTTGCTAACTTTGGACCGAATGCAACCACGTTTGTGGTTCCAGCTGAGATTTTTCCGGCAAGACTAAGGTCGACATGTCACGGAATATCGGCTGCTGCTGGAAAAGCTGGGGCAATGCTAGGTGCTTTTGGTTTCTTGTATGCTCAAAATAGCATTGGATTGAGAAAGGTGCTTCTGCTTTTGGGTGGGGCCAATTTCTTTGGAATGTTGATTACATTGTTGGTGCCGGAATCTAAAGGAAAATCTTTGGAAGAGATTTCTGGTGAAGCTGATGAAGAAGCCGATGAAGAAGCTAATACTACTACTAATAGAGAATCTGCATTGGAGGCTGGTCTTTAAGTTTAGGATTTTTTATTTTGTTGCTTAATTAGGTAGGTAGCAACTTGTTTTTCTCATATAGTTTAGTTGTAGGAAGAAACTAGGCATTCAGGTTGTAGGAGTCGCTCTCAATTACTGAAGTTAATTTTCACTGTTTTTCTCTTATTTTCTTTTTATTATGGAGTCAGACAAACATATGTAAATGCTTATGATGCTATCTTATGCAGTACATTTGTTTTATTAGTATCTCGTGTTTTATGTTTTTCCAAATTTCTTGAGGTTGAAAATAACTACTTACTGGTAAAAATTTACCAAACTGATTCGAGTCGAATTCCGGAATAGTATAGATATAGTACATATATATGATATAATTAATGAGAATATTCTTGCCGGGATGGAAAGGAACAAAGTAAGGAAGAAGCCATATTTCTGGAGGAATTGGTTTCACTCCACTTCATTCATATACTCCAAGTATCTATATATATATTAATAATGCATGATTATTTTGATTCATTATAATTTATGAGTTGGGTGGTAGCATTTGATTAAACTACTATTAGTACTATACTTACTGGGTATTCGGGATTTGGTGAATTGGGTTTTGCGCGGAAGGTGTTTGATGAAATGTCTGAACGGGATTTGGTTTCTTGGAATTCTTTGATTTGTGGGTATGGTCGTGTAAGAGGTATAGAGAGGTTTTGGATGCTTTTGAAGCAATGAGGATGGATAATGTGACAATGGTGAAAGTTGTTTTGGCTTGTTCTGTTTTGGGTGAGTGGAGTGCTGCTATCTGGTTGCTCAATCTCTTCTTTTTTTTTTGTTTTTTGAAGTAACTTGTAGATTGTGTTGTCTTGATAATGTTATTAATATTTGGCCTAGGTCCATGCTGCTTTAAGGAAATGGGTTCACGAAAACGTGGGTGCTGAAGTTGCCGCCTCTCTAAGAATCATCTATGGAGGTACTTCCGTTTATATATGCGGTTATTTTGATGTCATCAAAGAATATTAACAGTCTTGGTGTGAGTTTGGAGGCATTGTAGCAATTGTTATTTAATTAACTCCATCTAAAACTGCAGGCTCTGTAAATGGAGGAAACAGCAAAGAATAGGCATCACAGCCTGACATTCATGGATTTTTGGTTGGTGGTGCTTCCTTGAAGCCGGAGTTCGTTGACATCATCAACTCCGCCATTGTGAAAAAGAACTGAAATTCGTAAGTAGGAATTGATATGCTGCTTTGGAAGCAGCTTCGGAAATTTATGTTTTGAGTTATGATTCTGTATTTTGTAACCTCCGGAAAGCCGTTTCCGGCACAGATCGAGGCGCCTCTTCTTTGACGGACGTTCGCCGGAAGTGGAGCTAAATTAGGCGTGAGAGTCCCCGGAGCGGTTCTGTTCGGGTTAAGCTTGGCGATCGGGTATTTCTTGTTGTTGTCTGTTATGTCGTATAACGGTGGCGTGTTTATAGCTATTGTGGTTGGTCTTGCGGTTGGTTATTTGTTGTTCAGGAGCGACGGCGAAGATTCCGTCGTCGTTGACAGTTCTTGTGCATGTGCTTGATTTCAGTTTCTTGTTATGATTATTGCTAATCGATTAGATTTTACTGTTATCACTATTTTTCTACTGTCATTCTGGCCATACTAGCGCACCTGTCGCAACATTCAGCAATATGAGGTGGAATCGCTAATCGGTTGAATCTCTGCCACCAGGAATATGGTTTCTATTACTTCCCTTCTCTCTTTTCTAGTATGCATGGTTCTCATTTTAAGCTGTGAAAATGTATTTATCAAATTTAAGTTGTGGTTCACTTATAGTCTTTCAAATATGGTTGTATTGTATGTGGATTCCCGCTGTCGGTATCTTTTGACTTTAGTTTACTTGCATCTTTTTGCATAGCTCTCTGTAGCTTGAATGTAGAGAACTGCTGTATCACATCCAGAACCATTCAAAAAATTGCTGATGCATTGGACTCTAGCTCTGTAATTTCACACCTTTGTATAGGTATGATAAATCTACAGCTCTCTTTAATTCCTTGATACAAGTGATCTTTCTTGCATAATGGGTATTTTACCATTGACAGGACACAACAGCCCTGTATCTGGGAATGCTTTAGTTAATCTTCTATCCAAGCTTTCTACTTTAAAAAGGTAGAATCAATATGCTGGTGCCACCGTCCATCTCTTACATAGCATCTTTACAGAAATTGTATTATTTTATGGCATATAGAATTTTAAATTAAATGTTCTCATTGTAGGTTTTAAGAGTTGAATATGAGTGGTCTAAAGCTAGGCAAACCAGTTGTCGATAGCCTTTGCCAGCTTGGAGGGACCTTGACTTTATCAGGACTAATACTTGGAGGTACTGGTATTGGAAACGTGAGTAAACCTAGCTCCTACCACGTGCTCACTCTAGTGCTTCATTATTGTTATTTCTAGCATGCTTACCTTATTTGAATGGATTGAGCCATTATTCTGCAGGAAGGGGCCGTGAAAGTAACAGAATCATTGCTAAAAGGGACTGAGGAGCTTGCGAAACTTGACCTATCATATTGTGGGCTAACATCTGATTATATTTTAAACATTAATGTCAGAAGCCTCTTGTTATACGTGATCCTTAGAGAAGCCTCATGTAATGAATTTTGCAGGTCTGTTGGCGTTGATTTGGCTCTTGATGATTTTCAGAAGGTTAGTGATGAAGTTCCTTTCATTGCTGATCTTAAGCCTAGTGGGAAATATGTTATGGAAGATGTTCATAAGGTATGTATTGATTTATTTGATATATTCTCTCTATTAATAGTATTATTATTTTTGTTGTTATTGTTTGTATATGAAATTTACTTTATTACTGTCAAGATTTTTTCCTGGTCATGCTATTGGTATTTATGCTATTTTAAATTATCATTGTTAACCGTGATTGAAATCCCCTATTCTTTTCATTTTTTTGAAAGATTGGAGGGACCCCAGCAGTTATCCGCTACCTTCTTGAGCAAGGCCTTTTAGATGGTGACTGTTTGACTGGTATTGTGTTCATTTTTTTGAAAGATTGGAGGGACCCCAGCAGTTATCCGCTACCTTCTTGAGCAAGGCCTTTTAGATGGTGACTATTTGACTGGTATTGTACTTGCCTTTGTGTGTTAATTACTGAGTAATTTTTCCAAAAAATAAAAAAAATGTACACATCGCTAACATGCATACCTCCTCTCTAGTCACTGGAAAGACCCTAGCTGAAAACGCAGAACTTTTCCCTCCTTTGTCCAAAGGGCAGGTATGAGCTTGTTCTGTCTGTGACATGTGTATCATATTGCTATATGAGCTTGTTCTGTCTGTGACATGTGTATCATATTGCTATGTAGTGCTCCACAATTGCAATGGCTTGACTGTTAATAAAATGATCACATGATAACCTACAAGTTTTCTATAATGTGATTCAGGAAATAATAAGACCAATTGAAAATCCCATCAAGAAGACAGCTCACATTCAAATATTATATGGAAACGTCGCACCTCAGGGTTCTGTTGCTAAAATTACTGGAAAAGAGGGCTTGTACTTCTCTGGTGAACCTTCTCGTGCTGTTCTCTTGGAGTTTTTTATTTTATTTTATCTATTTTTATAATCTTATTTGTTTTTATTTTTGTTTATTTTGCCAAATTGTCCATACCACGACTTATTCTTAACATGGATTATTATATAGGTCCCGCACTTGTTTTTGAAGGAGAGGAGGCAATGATTTCTGCCATTTCAGAGGATCCTTCGAGGTTTAAGGTATTTCCTTATTTCATAGTGTTGTCAAGAGTCTCAAGACTGATGTATGAATGAAGTGTCAGGAATTGATATTTTTGACAGGTTTACTAGTTAATATGTGGTAGAAAAGTAATCAACCTATGTTAAATTCAAGTTTACTGGTGTAAGTTAACCAGAGTCTTAGCAAGTACTGAATGGAAGTATGATGGATAATGGATTAAGAAAGTGAGTTGGGTATTGTTGCAGGAAAATGGTCTAGAGACCATTTAGTATAGTGGAAGCTTCTCAAGTTAGCTAAGTAGAATAGACCTGCAAAGACTAGAATAGACCTGCAAAGACTATCGGAGATATCGTGGCAGTAAAGAATATTTACATGTTTTTGTTGATTTGGAAAAGTTGTATCATAGGACCCCTAGAGATATTTTGTGGAAGACTGTAGATAAAAGAGTTTGTGAGAGAACATAATGTGAGCCATACAATATTTCATACAATAGATTTACACCAATGGTAGCCTGCATATTTTCAATTTGTTTCTTCATGTGCTTTACTGAGCATCTTCAAGAGACGGTGCTGCTACTGAACATTATTTTGCAAATTATATATTTGTGGATGGTCAAGAGAAGAAATAAATGTTGAGTTAGATATTTGGAGGCAAGGCTTTGAAATTCATGGCTTTCATTTTAGTAAAAAAATCAAACTGAGTATATAAATTGTATGCTTATATCTTAGTGGGAGGCACAAATGATAGCTTAGAGGTAAAGTTGAAGAATATCAATATACCATATTACTAGTCTCACATTTAGATTTTAGGTTCTGAAAACCTGAGTGATTAATGTATCCTTTTCAGGCACTATCTTCTTCAAGTGGAGACAGCAATGGCAAAGACTTGTGTGTATCTCCTTCAAAATTTGCAAAGAGTGATGAGCTTTGGGAGTCTTATGTGTATCTCGAACCTCCATTGATCCAAGATGTCCAAATTCAACAGGATTCAGAACTTAAGTCTTCGAATACCAGCTTAGAAGACTGTTCTAGTTCTAGCTGTGGTTTTACTTTTCTTGATGAGGACAATTTAATTACATATGACGGACCTTTCTCGACACTTGAAGTGACAATTCCGCCTAGAGTTGATAGTTGTGCCTAGGACAGCTTAGAAGATGATGTTGATGAATCAGATGAAAGACATTAGTGAACACATTAGCTGTGAATTTTGCTTGTTAGCTAGTTTGAAATTTGCATTGTTTTTTTTTTATTAATTTGATTGGACAAGTGATTATTAGTAAATTGATTGTGTCATTTTTAATAATATAACTCTAGAAGTATTGTTATTGACTTTATAGTTATGTTTGGTTGCTTTAAAAATTTGAATGTGATTAGTGTTATTGTCTTATTCAAATTAGACATTTGTTTTTATATTATTATATTTAACAATAATTATAATATTTTAAAAATAAACTAAACAAAATTAACAAAAAAATTAAAAACACGAGAGAGAAACTACAAAAGTCGCAGGTAAAATCGCAAGTAATTTCTCTCTCGGGTTTTTAATTTTGATCATTAATTGTGCATATTTAAAATATTATAATAATTGTTAAATATCAAAGTAAAATTAACATAAAAATAAAAATCTAATTTAATTTCTTAATCTTTTTTATTATAGAAATAGCTGATTCATAAAAAAGTTAATGTATTTTTTTCTCTAAAATAATATTTACATAAGTGTGCAAATATGTTTAAGTAATATTACTTTCAAAAGTTGAGTTTATAATGGGCTGCTTTGGTTTATGTCCTATAACACTTGAATACATCATGTGTTGGTTTATGTCCTATAACACTTGAATACATCATGTGTAAGGAACGATGATCATATCCAACTAGTGATTTAAAACAAAGCAACAATAGGGTAAACTTGGCAAATAATCAAATGGTAGACAAAATGAGTAAAACTTTTGAGATTAACTTTCATTTCTCAAAAGGGTCACGTGAACAAAGGATTCTTAAAGTTGAAAGCATGTTAGAGAACCATCTTGTTGATCATACTATTAAGAGAATATTCAATTTCAAATAAAGCATAATTATTGATACTACTATTAGTAAGAGAATAAATCAATTCCCAATAAAGCATAACACTGTTTTTACTTCAACCTTAAGTAACCATAGAATCAAATCTACAAGGCACATTCATATGAACATTCTGAATGGTTGGCTATAATGTTACACATGCAACCATAACAGACACATAAAGCAATCCTAAAACCATTACACAGAAGAAAACAGAAAACTGAAATTGGATAGCTAAATCAAAGCATCAACCATTGAGCAATTAAGAAAGCAACCGACTTTAGCTATGGCAAACCCGATTATTCGAGATGTCGCGGCAGACTCATCCTTTGCTCTGGCCAGATTCTCTTCGCTAAGAGTCTCTTTCTCACCAACTGCTTTCAGCTTCTCAGTCAGTTCCTTCTTCAGCGCTTCACATTCTTCCAACTCAAGCTCAGACTGTTCCACAAGCTTCCTATTCTTAGCTACTTTAGTGTTGACAAAATGCATACTACTTATAAATGCTTGATAAGAATATTTTAAGCAAAATTCTATCATGGTATAACATGAAAACTTGTTAAAGGGATTACTTAGTCAAAGAGTCAGGGATGTTATAAAGACAAACATTTTTACCTTAACTTCATAATCTGGGTATTGGCCAAGTGCATCAAGGAGACAATGAGTTGCAAGCTTTGCAATCCAACGTGCAACAGCAACCATTCCACATGTGCATATCCTAAAACCAAGTCACTAACTCCCCCTATGAACTACAGGGTGATGAAATGGTACCACAATTCCTGTAACAGCCGTTAGAGTATCCTTGATACTATGTGTGTGCCACGAATAAACAACAAAAGACACCTCATCTTGTGATCAACTATGATTGTAAAAGCTGGATAGAAATGGAATATGGTCAAAACAAAATATGTTTTCAAAATATACCGAAATATAAATTAACAGATATTGACAAAATTATTAAAAGGAACCTCTTACATCCTGCCAATACCCGAGGATCACCACCCAGAGGGTGGAAATTTACACAAGCAGATCTTACAAATGTCTTGAAATTAGCATGAGTTGCTATCCTAACACGATGACCATACTCCTGCAAGCACAAACTCAAAATTCACAACCGATTTTTATTAGTAAGGAAAAGTTACCTCGTGCACAAAAATATAACTTTTAGCTATCGGGAAAGTACGCAATAACAAAAAACATAACTATTTTATCACACTTTCCACAAATGGGTGTCAAAGGCAATTTAACAAACACCTTGTGGGGAAAAGCTGAAAACAGAGTGTTGGCAAATCTATTTAGTCGATTTTTTCCACAACCAAGAATATGAGCAACACTAAGAACGAGAATCTTAGAATGACAAGAAGTCAGTAAATTTAAAAGTACATTAGCAGCCATGGATTTATCTCTAGTTGAATCTTTCCACAATTTTGTCGACATTTGAGGATCAAATGAGATTTCATAATTAAGGATAGTAAGCAATTGGTTCCAACTACAATCCATGCATTGTAGTTCATTGCTGTTGTTGGAGGCATCATTCCGGTTGCTCCCAAGAGTACTGGAAGATTAATCAACGGAATCCATGACTGTTGTGGAAATGCCTTGTGCAATAGCCAAACAAGTATTGGTCTTATGGCACCTCCAAGGAAAAACCAGTTCAATCCTGAGTACTTTCCAAGAGTACCAAATATCCTCTTAGGTCCTATTAGACCCCAAATAACTGATGCATCGAAGAAAACGCGGTCACTCGGACATGTCCACGGACTACCTTTGAGAAGAAGATCTTCGTGACATATGTTTTTGACAGATCCTAGCAGCCACCATGCTACACAAATGTTGATAGTTCCAGCAAGCATTGTACCAATGAACTAAATAATTTTTAACACAACAAATACATTAGATAACATATAAGAAAGGTAAATGCTAGTAAAACCTTGCAAACACAATTATAACAGCTAAAAAAATAAGGGTAATGTTAACTTGTGCCCTTGGGGCACATATTAAGAACTAAATTAAGAAATATTTTCTTGGAAATTGTGTACAACTTAAATTAAAATATAAAATTAACTTTTAAATTGATTTTTCCAATACAAATATACTAAAAGTGGTTTCCTTAACATGTGCCCCAAGGGCACAAGTTAACATTACCCAAAAAATAAATATACCTGCAATAAGAACATTGACCTTGGAGGGATTTTCATATAACGTCCAAGCTTGAAATTGCTAAGGAACGAAATAGCCTGAGCCATACTTATGTAACCATAGGTTTTGAGGCATACATTTGCAATCGGTCTTCCGGGGTAAATGATACCAAAGATGTACTCAGTGATGATATTCAACCACGGCGTCTGCATTTACAGCATTAAGATATTTAGTTTAAAATCAAATTATTTTCCTTCGTAAGGAAAAGTTTCAAAATATTAATTAACCTTGGAGGGAAAACTCCATTTGTTTTGGACACCATTCCTATCATAACATTCAAACTTCTTTCCTAGTGTATGCTCTGTCTAATATAAGAATTAGATCTCCAACCACGGGCATAGAAACTTTCTCATACTTGCATGCCAAAAGCATTGCCACTGGACAAACCAACTGAAGCTTCTTTCTCATTTCCCATAGCGTTTTAAAATAAAGCACATAAATTCAAATAGAGTGAGAAAACTATAAAATATATTTAGATTTATAATTGAATAAATGCAACCTGCTATGGGAGCCAAATGTCCAAAGTAGCAGAGCGAACCTGCAAAAAAACTAAGTAAGCATATAATAATAAAAACAGTGATTAATATTCCGTGATACACAATTGGAGCAACATAGCCATAAGGCAAACAAACCGTTACAATAAGCAAAATTATATGGAAAATATAAAAATTGATTTTTAATTTGGACAGTTGAGTTATCTCTTTCAGCTTGATATAAATTTTAAATCTAACAGTTTTCAACAAAATTAAAGTTGATCCTAACATGATGTATACCGAAAATAAACATATATAAGAAACTTGATTGATTCACCTACATAATTAAGTGAACAATTATTCATCAAATAATGTCTTATAAAAAAATTTGTCAAACAAATTAATTAATGTAAAGGAAGAAAAATACACGCCACAAATAAATGCATAGAAGCAAAATATCTATCAAATTCTCCCATAGAAAAAGATGTCTACCAAATAAAATTTGACACATAAGTGATGAATTAATTAATTACCATTAAAAAAGAGCTTAAAATTTTTAGGCTCAATGGTCTTGAAGTCCTGCAACCGGATCTTGTGAGAGAGTTCCATCTCCCATGACTTAATACCATTTTGCACTATTTCCTCCAATGATCCTTCTGGCCATTCCTGAAAAAGTCAACACAAAATTGAAATAAAAAAATTAAGCTTATCCGAGGTAAGACTAGGGGTGTCCATAGTTTTACTCAGTACCGTCAATGCAAGTTAAACTGCTTCTTCCTTTGTGATATCATCCTTGTAGTCCTGTTTTAGAATTGACTGTGCTGCCTGATTGTTAGCATCAATAGCACCGGCTTTCCAACCACCGTAACTTCCACTAGGATCGCTCATGTAAAGTTGAAAGCCAAAATTGTTGTCCCAGCCTGCAAACAGGAAAGAAACTGCAAAAGGATGGAGACCAAAAGTGGAGATACTTTTCGTTCTAAACTCACTCAACTGAGCCCAAGAAAATCTGCACTATTAACTAGCCACTGTTAGAAACTCAAATTAACAAGTTGAAAAATTGACTTCCACATCTTTTAACATTTCCACAAATTATAAAATACCATGAGGTGAAATTCCTTTTTTGAGGAAACATCGGCCCAATTGTCGTCATTACAATATGTTGCTCCATTTCCTTCACCGCATCAAGGCTACCGGAAAACAGAGCCTCCACAGAACCATCCCTCCAGTTTCGAGCCTATCCCTTTAACCCCAGTTCCTTCGCATTATCCACTGCCCAATTCCTGTAAATTCTAAATGTAGAGATGCAGTCACAGAACCAATTCAAGTTTACAGGAGAATATGATGGTGATTCTACATATAAATCTAAAGACACTATAAATCTAAAGACAAACGTTGCTAAAAGGAAAAGTTA